AAAAACTCCCTTTTGACACAAAGAAATCTCTATCAGAATCAGGCGTGCATCTGCTGGAGGGGCATGCATCTGCTGCGACTGGTTCGGGGAGAGGGCAAAAGGAGAGAGCAGAGGGGTTCTGTTCAAACGATGACCATACAATGTGCTAGTGACCAAAGGAGCCACGAGGAGGTTTTTGCCAACCAGTTAGGGATTAAGCATCTTTCCATAGCAACAGGTGGTTGCCAGGAGGTCACTGACAAGATGTAGACCTGCATGACTGGTGCTTTAGCAGCCAGTTTCCCAGCAACCACTTGCAACCAGTCAGGAAATACACATATTTGCTTGCCAGATGGTTGCAGACCAGTCCCTAGGCCTGCATGAGTGATACATCATTCACTTGATCCTACATTGTCACTATAATTGTCAAACAAATGGTGGACAAGTTAACATTGCATGGTTAGGGGTGATGTGTATGCAAAGCCTCGGTATAATAATTTTTGTTTCCTGGAAGATGAATCCCGATGACTGGGGTAATTCCCTGGCTCTTTTTTTAACACTATCATAAGACTCATGAAGTATTGGTTGGTTATGTTGATGTTTGGTGCATACATTCATATTTCTCTAGACATAGACTTTATCATTGAGCCTTTTATTCTCCATCTAATCAACTTAGCAGCCATCTTGGATTGAATCCATGTATTTACTTTGCAGTCTGTATCTAAGTGAATGGGGAGAGCCATAAATTTTTACTTCAGTGGTTCAGTGGGACATAAAAACTGCATGTATAGAACTGAGAGTTATATCCAGTAAAGGAAGAAAAAAAAGGTTTGGCAAAACGTTGCACCAAGTTACGTTTTTTTCCCCACTAAGTTGTACTTGTACTACACGTGCACATGCATTGTTTCACATTACAGCTTTTAAAACCTTCCCATTTCAGCTGTTGATTGGATTACATGGGTGATAACTATCTTTCACGTTCAGAATTCTCCCATAAATTTCTATTCAGGATTCTTTGAGTGCCTTATCTAATGTCTCTGCTGCCACCTGCCAGCATTGTGAGCATGTTAGCAGTCTGATGTTGTACTGCCTAGCAAACACAGACAGTATAAAAGAAGCTCCCATTTTGGTGTTACCATCTGTGTGTTTTCAAACCAGATATGACGAGCGAGGGGTGGATCTGACTGTGGCTCTAATAATGACCATGATTCACACGGTGATCTTCATATTTTATTCAGTACGACCTGAAACCAGCGTGTGAGCCCATTAAGTCATCAGGAAAGCTTTTACTGAGGTCATGGACCAAAGGAACCGAGAGCTGGTTTTCCATGGAAAACTTATTGCAGTCAGAAGAGCCGTTTCCTCCTCCTTATACTTTCACATGTTTCCTTTAGGTCTCGCCACAGTGTATCATCTGCCTTGAACTCACCCTACGTCTAGCATCCTTTAACGTCACCCCAACTCTCCATGTTTTCCTTCACTGCATCCATGAATCTTCTCCACTATCCCTCCTCTGCACATGCCAAACCATCCCAGCCTTGCCTCCCTAACTTTGAAAGTCTTAACATCTTTTAACTCTGTCACCTCCAGCTCAGCTTGCTGTCTCTTTTTCAGTGTTACTGTCTCCAAACCAGACATCATAGTAGGTCTCACTATTGTCACGGAAACCTTTCCTCCCAGTCTTGCTGCCCTGGCGCTTATCTCCACTCACTCCACCCTGCCTTGACTCTCTTCTTCTCTCTTTTGCCTTGTCCTTTTCTTTGGATGTTTGGCCCCAGGTTTCACTGTATCTGCTCCTTGCAGCTTTACTGTTACACCTGTCTCCTTCTCATTGGCACACATGTAATCTGTTGCGTTTCTACTGATGAATCTAAACCACTACGGTGAAGATGGTGACTGCTGTCTTTGAGGCGTCAGAATGTTCACATCGTTGCAGTTTACTCCAAAACATATCAGAGAAAACCACTATGTGATATTCAGGAAACTGGCTGTAGCGCATTCAAATATTACTCAATGGAGAATTTCCTGAATGTTTACATAGTGAAGCTTTTGTTGGACACATCTTTATCTCAGCTGCTCGCACATCTGTTGCCACCTTTAGTACAGTGTGTGGCGGTATGATGGCAACGATCTACTCGCTACAATTGCATCAGTCTCCTGAAACCAGCCTCCTGTCAAAGTGTGGGCATTTTACAAGATAGCTCATCAACCAGTGATGTGTGATGACTCAGAGGCTATTGCAACGGATGCTTTAATGTGAAAATGTCCACACAGATTTTATTTAAAAGCGCCAGCTCTTTTTAAAAGCTAGAAATCATCAGACATAAATGGTCCCACAGATAATGCATTAAGCATTTTGCTCTTCGATACGAGCATTTCACCGACTGTTGAGCTGACACACACCCAGCGTTTCAGCACCACGGCGGAATCAATGGCCCCAAATGGCTTAAAATGAAAGTCTTTTACCAACATTGTTTCAATATTTATTGACATCAACCTCGAGGCAGAGAAGTGCCCTGCGTGCTACATGCTTTCAGACAAAAACAAGGCAGTGACTGGGTCACAAGAGTTTCTCTTGAAATTGCAGTGTGTTTGGGAGGAAAGTGATTATCCCTCTTTACTTATGCAGGGAGATAACAAGACAAGATCTTATCCTGGCTGCCATTTTCTGCCTTGTTATTGAAAATGGTCCTAAATTTGTGTTTGTGTTGGCTAAAAATCATTTTCCTATCAGGTGCATAGAGTGAAGCTGCAGTAAAGACATAAGATTGGTTGTCTCTCAGCTTTGAGTCTCCAGATTCATAGGTCCCAGTGTGGCATGGCAGTAATTATGTTCAACTTAATTAAGCTTTGTTAATTATGTAAAAAGGAGTGTAATAAAAGGTCATTAAAGGCATCATTTAAAGGATGCAAAATGAAACACCGAGTTAACACCTGAAATTTTGCTAAACTGGATTTATGCACATTTTAAATTGACCTTTCACCGAGCCACACCTCTATTTTCTCCTGCATTGTTTTCCCACTTATGCTTGACACCATTTTTTTTTCTTTTCATTAGTACGGCATCAGATAATTAGCTGACTTATCTGTTGGATGTGCACCCACACTAATTATAACAGAGAATAACCTGCAGAGATGAAAGAGGAGCTCTGGTAGACCATCTGGTGAGTGCTTTAGACACGGCTCCTGCAGTCATGTAGTGGTTTGTACCTGCTGTTGCTGTTTTTTCAGAGTGTGTGCCAGCACAAAAAAACTATCATAGGGTTGAAACTGGTTCTCACAATACAAGTAATGTTACCAAATACCTGCTGGGTTCATTTCTCAGATGTGCTGCCTGAAATCGGTCTGCTCAGCAGGAAAATACATGACAGAAAAATGACCTGAAAAGCAGTGAAGTTCTACAGCTTATATTGGTATATACTGTATTCTATACCATACATGTTAAGAATACGAACATGAACTATTCCTGTAAGTCATATCATTAAAATTATATCAAAACAATATGGTGTGATGTATGGTTTATATATATATAGTGCACAGCAGAGGTGTTCAATCCAACATTATATGTATCATATTCCTGTTTCCTGTGTTCTTTGTTAATGTTTTATCAGTTAGCATTAAATAGATTAGAAAAGAGCAGCAGTTATCATCATTATCATGCTATAATTTTATAATTAGAAAGCCACTAATGACGACACATTTTTAGTGGCTTTCCTTTCAGGTTTTGATGTTGCTTCTTGCTGCTGAGATTTGATTCAATTCTGCCGGCACCATCCAGCAGATGGAGTACTTGAACCGCAGTAGCAGCTTATCTTTTCACCTTCCACCATTGTTTGCGCTGCAGCAGAGTAATCAACAGTAGAATAAGTCATGTCTGCACCATATACAGTACAATAGTTAGTTGAAATTAAATTTGTGATTGTCTTCCTCCACTCTCTCTCTCTCTCCATGCTTTCCCATCCACGCTCCACCATTACACTGTCTACTAAAGGGAAAAGGCACGAAAATTATTATTTAAGAAGAAAACAAATAAATGAGCTATGGCCTGTAACTGGAGCTCATTTATTGCTGGTGGCTATAGGTTATGCAGGAACCACTCACACCTTACCATGGCACAAATAATGTTCACTGACATGCACAGATGTCTTTTTCCTTCTCATTTTTAAAAAGAACAAATTATTTTTAATGAATTTCACTTTGATTTGGGCAACTTTACACCAAACACAAAGTTAAAATTCTGTTCTACTGTATTATTATTATTATTGTTGTTGTTGTTGTTGTTGTTGTTATTTCATACCAACATTCCAATTTATGGCAAGCAAAACGGACAAACTAGCTGGAACGCGATACGCCCCTCAGTAACCAGAGACCATACAAACGAAAAGATACCACAGTCGAAAAAGAGATGAGAAGGGCAGCAGCACAGCGCCATTAAAGCCAAGAAAACACTAGCATAGCAAAGATGGCGTCGGACTGCTTTTTCAAACTTCAACTCCGTGTTGTAGGTTTTCAGGCTGTCTACTCGAGTTTCTCTTAATATAATTAACTTTGCGCAATGGTCAGTATTCTATTACTTTATAGTCCAGGCTTCACTGTAGAGTTAAACACACAAAGTGGTGTTTTTTTCTTCTTCTTGTACATAGCGACAGCCATAGCCGTTGTTGGCGGTGAGCTAACGGAGCTCTTAACTTCACAGCGTCTTTGGTCTAACGGCGTCGTAAAAATCTAGTTTCTGACAAAAACTACGTCCCCTCTGCCATTTTCTTTTTCTTTAACGTTATAATATGTACAAATTGAGCCACTCATCTGAATTATCTGTAGCACATAATTATTTAAATGCTAGCCGACATCTCCCCAATTTAAAATGTGATGTAAACCATTGAGCCAGACTGCAGCAGTCCCCATAGCAACAGAGGAGAGGGTGGGCATCACAAATGGCACAGAGACGCATCATGATTCACACCAATGGAGCTCACGTCCCAAGCTGTGTATAGCATTTTAGCACTGAAAAATAATCCCAGACCACACAGACAGCCCTGCTCCATGTCAGAGATTGAAACCTGAGAGATTCCAGTTGGCCCCAATTTCCTCAGCACAAACGTGGTACAATCCACCCACATTAGAAAACCTTTACCAATGCTCCCCCCCTCCCTCTGTCTGGCAGGTACCACTCACTGCCGAGGGGGTTATCCTATCCATCCACCGCAAATCTAGCCCTCGTTGTGGCAGAATTGCAGTGCATTGGACTGTACAGAGCAGGGTACCATCCAGGCTGTTGTCTGTGAGGGGTGGGGTCCGGCTACACTCATACCACCAACCATAAGCTGACAGAGGGACACCAGAGAGGCAGAAAAAGACAGGGGAAAAAAGAGAGAGAAGAGGGGGGAAGACGGCACCTGAAGAGGAATATAATACGGGTAAGGAGAAAAGGGGGGTGGATGGAGGGAGAAGGAAAAAGACAATGGGGAAAGGTCCAGAATGGTTCAAATAGATTCGCTCCTTTGATGCTATGCTTTTTCCCCATTCCCTTCCTGCTGACAGTCCATTTAATTTCAGTCCTTTTTCCATCTGTGACACGTTTTTTCCCCCATCAGTTATATGTGGGCATCATTTCGTGAATGGCTGCAGTGGTTATTTCATTCCACATTTGATATTTCTGTGCCTGTTCCCGTTCATAGTGGGAGAATCTGTGGGCTATAGTGAATGATGCTTACCATTTGGCCCAGTTTGTGTGTTGCCTTTTTTTTTGCCATTTTTGAAAATATATGGGAATTTGATCCCATATCAGATATCAGATGACATAATGTGGCAGCTGTGCCGATTCGGTGACACAGTATTGACTGATATTTATAATATCTGGCTTCATGCTTGCGTTAAAGTCCAGCTTGCCTAAATACATAAATAATATAATGCAATTTTTGAGCACAGTTTTTTTTTTGTCATATGCTACTTAAGAGCTCTATATAATGTATTTGTCTAAAAACTGGTTCTCATGTGTATTCCATTTGATTAAGCAGCTGTTATTTAAAAATAATAATAATAATAATAATCCTCTTAATAAACCTGTATAATGGCAATGAATAGTGCCACCATAGCTCACTGCAACATTTTTAATATTTTTCATGGCTCTAAAAATCCATTCAAAGTGAAGGATGCATGCAACACAAAAACAGTAAGATAAATTATTTTCTTTCATTTCAGTCAAACAAATGCACAAATCTACTGAATGCTTTTCCTGTCTCTTCTATACGTCGCCGTGTTTGTGGCTAGGATGAAAGGAGACACCCCAGTGAACAGCACCATGAGTGTCGGCCAAGCCAGGAAGCTGGTGGAGCAACTGAAGATCGAGGCTAGTTTCTGCAGGATAAAGGTGAGGCTCACGTATTTATTGTGAAGTTTGGTCCAAAACAGCACAAACAAAAGTTTTCTGCTTTAAAAAAAAATCAAGGAATTCTTTGATATGTTGTGATAAGTCAGTTCTGTCAGTCAGATGCTAATAATTGTGCCACACAAACTAAATGCAAGTTTGGTTTGAAGATTTTGTTGTAAGCGATGATGGGTAGGCAGTGATGACCTTCTCAGATATACTTTAAGTAAAGGGTTCCCACTGGATGGTGTTTGGCTTGCATGATGTTCCTAATTGCATCAAAGCCACCTTGCAGAGACACGTTGCCTCTTTGTAAGAAATAATCCACGAGCGTTAAAATGAGCAGGAGGCAAACTTGTCTCATGCTACCATGAGAGCAAAGTTTTAGAGATAAGTTTTATCTGCTGGCACCACCACCAATAATTAGAACCTGAAGCAGAGTGTTTGTCTTCGCAGAGGTCCAGCACTCTTTCAAAACTTTTGAAACATCTGGCTGTTCAATGTAAAGGTTGAAATTGTTGTTAGAGAGAGATCCACATAAGGAGCACAAGAGCTAAATAATAATTCAGTTAACGTTCAGTTACTTTTATGTTTGCACATTTCATGCTCATATTTAGATTTTATTAAGAAAACTATCCATTCATACATATAAGGTGCTTTATCTCGTAAGACAAAGGACCTACAGTACAGGATTAGAGAGAGAAAACAAACATCAGATGATTCCCTAAGAGTAAAAACTTAGTGACAGTGGAGAGAAGGAACCCAGTTTTAACAGGAAGAGACAGAAACTGTGGAGCATGCGGGATAAAGAGATATCCAAAAAAAAAAAAACCCAACAACACACATTTCCACAGTGACATGGATGGACCCGGATGGGATGAGGAACACTGATAAACAGATTCTTTAAACAATTTTGGAAACAAAACTGGGAAAAAGATAAAGAACAGATCTTAGAAAAGAAAAGAAAAGAAAAGAAAAGGAGAAAAAATGAGTGAGACAAGTGGGAAATACCAGCCATTGTTAAAACTATAAGCCAGTACAGTAGCGGGGTTTGTGAGGGTCCTACAAAGATTTCATGTTTACTGTTCCACAGTGTACCTGTGAAAATACAAATGAGAAAGAGCAGAGGCCAAAATAATGCTTATACATATAAACGATCACAGCAAAGATAACCCAGACATACCTCAAAAAAACAAGGATGAGGGTCTGAAACATCCATCAATCTTCCCATCCGTTTACTTATGTTTATCCACTTCAGGCTCATGGTGAGGCTGGAGCCTGTCCCAGCTACCATGGAGCAAAAGTTGAAGTGGACCCCGCACAGGTCACCAGTCTGTCGCAGCTCTAACACAGACAACCATTCCCAGCCACTCCTATGGCCATTTTAGAATAACCAATCTAACACACAGATCATGCAAACTCCACGCAGAAGGGCTGGCTGGTGGATTCAAATCGAGGATTTTCTGTCTGCAATGCCACTATACCACCCGGGTTAAAAGCAGCATGCAAAAAATCAAAAACTGTCGCTATTAAAGCACCTTGAGATGACTCCTATAACAACAAGAGGCATCTCAAGGTGCTTTAAATTCATTTAATATTAATCACACAGTATTATAAGCAAGGATTTGGCGACTGTGGGGAGGAAGTCACTAAGTTCCTGATTTTACAGGGAAATTACCTGCAAATCACCAGGATCGGGGAGGGGCAGCCAGCTCCCTACTGTGACCACTCAGAGGCGGGATGAGGGGAAAGTGTAAAGGGGAAAAATGTAATTAAATGCTCTAAACCCCATCGTCTCCACCTCCAGGTATCAAAGGCAGCAGCCGACCTGATGGCGTACTGCGACGCACACGCCTGCGACGACCCCCTGATCACCCCCGTGCCCACCTCAGAGAACCCCTTCAGGGAGAAGAAGTTCTTCTGCGCTTTGCTTTGAGACAAATCAGGGATTGTTGTGATGAAAAAGTACAACTGTACAGTATGTACATCTATGTACAGTGTGTACATGTACTTCCAATCTGAATAAGACATTAATGTACTATAGTAACGTTGCATAAAAGCTGCCGATGTACAGTACATAACCAACTACAAAATGTCTTGAACTAAATTCTTATACTGCGAACATCTGTCTCAATGTTAGAGGAGGGCAAACAAGAATAATTTAACATTTAATCAATAAAGAGTTAGAAAAGTTGCTAAAAGTCTCAAGGGAAGGGGAAAAAACAAAGAGCGTTCATCTGAAAGGAAACACATGCATCTCATGCTCAAATAGGTTACAAGTAACTGCCAGAAGGGACAACATGATCACCAAGTATCTTAATTCTCCACCAGTCACAGGCAACAGATTCATATTGAAACTGGGAACCTAAATTACATTAGGTCTCAGCATTATGGAGGACATGTCTCAGCTCTCCCCATTTAAATTCCCCATAAATGAGAAGACTAATGCCGCGTAATCAAACACCTTTTCATTCTTTGTCTACTCATAGGCAGAGGTCATAACACGTATGCTCCTCTCACAAGTAGCAGCATTTATTTTTTTCTAATCTAATCTATTGTTGACCTTCGTCATTCACTGTTTAACCCTGTGTTGGCAGTTACTTGTTTACAACTGGACACATGCAATTGATTTGGGGTTTTTTGGGGTGGGGGAGGGTATTAAGATTTTAGCCTCTTCTTTTTTTTGCTCATTTCTATACTATTGCCGTAGTGTGGATGTGGACGTGTGTGTATGCATAGGTGCTACTGTGAAACTTGAGCAACAATTCTGTGCATCGGATCACTGTCAAATTGAGATTTTGTAGTTAAATAGCACACACACACACACACAAACCCAAACACATTCCAGGAGTTAAGGACTTTCAACATCTAATCTAAGCCACTAAAGTAAGATCATCTAATCGGTTATTCTGAGCCTGTCATAATAATAATTTTCTAATTCTTTAAGACATTAAAATAAAAAAGTAAATGAAGCAGTCTTAATGTACTTTTAAGGACAAGTGTGCATCATTGTTATTTTAAATGATCAGAGGATCTCCAGAGCAGGGGTTCTTAGTGGTTTCCAGAAAAGTCATGGATCAACCAGTGTCACTTTCTCCATCTAAAGTACTGTCAGCTGTTAAGTTTCAACACCACTTTCATAAAAGGAAACGAAAAACTGCTCTTCTTCTCGTGTCCGTGACCTGGAACTTTTGGAAACGCCTCCCCCCCTGCTTTGGAGCATTCAAAAAAAAAAAAAAAAAAAAATGAGTGACATATTTTCATCATGTTGCAAATATCAAATCTGGAGCTTTGGCAGAAAAAAGGGTAACCATGGAAACGAAGCACTAAAATAAAGCCTCCTGTCATCAAACATTTTCTGTCTCTTGGGGTGTTCTCTGATAAAATGCACAGGAAAAAAAAAAAACATGTTCAAATGTGATACTTGCTTTTTATTGTTTTATAATAAAAGCAATAGAAAAGCTGAAACCTTTTCACAGTCAAATGCAAACACGTGGGCCTGCGTTATAACAAAAAGCTGCTACACACTGGTTACATCTTCATACAGCTTGATAACTGGTGGTGGGTTTCAGCATTTGAACAGAAGATTAGGGAATACAGTGTGAACATGCAGTGTTGTGGACATTATACTTCTTTAGACCAAGTTAAATGTTTAAAGTAACATGCATTAAGGCATCTCATGTCTAGAAATTCAAAGACAATACATCTAGCTCAGCTATAAAGACCTGACCTAAATATCAGGCTCACTGTTGTAACAAAATGCACACAGTGTAGGATTTTCATTTAAAGCCACTCAAACCAATAAAGGATATTTTATTTGTAAGTCACATGACAGTGGATTAAGAGGGTTTCTCCGCTCTTACTCAGCTTGTAAGTTGCAGAAAGAAAAGAAAGCCTACTACTTTTAACCTACTTTAATTAGCTGCTAACATGGTTTTGCTAGATCTATCACTGTGGGTTTGGATCAGGATGATGCTGTCTGACGCTCACCAACTCGTAACTTTGCTTTCACGACCTCCACAGAAGGTTGGCATTTTTTTTTTTACTAGCAGCACAACTAGCTGTGATATCGAGCTTTCTAACAAACACAATATCTAAGTTACCAGCAATAGAGACACTTTTATTATTGAAAGTATTGTTTTGTTACATTGGCATCTTTATTTATATACATTTCAATCTTCAAGTCCAAACAAGCTTAGAGTAGACTAGATGTAGGACTGTGGTGTGTCTTCATTTGCAAGACACAAAGTTAAAACACTTCACATACATATATATATATATATATAAAAATCTCTAAATACCAGTGTCAGTTGAATCTTCTTTTTTAGGTTTAGTTTTCAGGTTTCACATTAAATTAGCCAAATCTTCTGCCAAACAGACAATCCTTATCAAGAAATCATTGAAGCATTGTTGATGGAATCGCAGTACATGAAACTGTGATATGATGTGCTACTTAAAAAAATGGACAACTCATATCAAACCTTCCAGTGGCATTTAAAAACAAGCAAATGGTGCAAGCAGCCCAAGAGCATCAGGTGACTACAGGTGTTAGTGTAGATTGTACAGGTAAACCATCACATTAAATAGAAAGAAATGTGCTGAAAAAGATGAAAACAAATCTTGAAGGTAAAAAGAGTTCACCTTTAAAACTGCCATAATGAGCTTAAAGTGATAACTTCTTAACGCACTGCCAACAATGAACACACTAGAAATTTACATTTTTTAAATTTTGAACAGAAAGTACACATAGTATTCCAATAGTTGGGCCACATGGATATTATAAGCAGGGGCTGAATTAAAAGAAAATCAGAAGAGGTAATGTACAGCTTGGACTTCAGAAGTACAAAAACAAATGACTGAATGTTTATAGGAAGGCATCGCACCATTCCTTAAGACAGCCATAGCAGTCACCTTGTTGTTTGACATTTGCTCCGCAAGTGTCCTTCAGCCAATCTCGGAAAAGCTCCTCGTCTTTCTTTAGCACTAGAAACTGTCCAAGGACGACATATGCCTGTGGAAGTGGATGTGAAGACACAACACAAGAATGTAATTAAGACCGATGTGCGAGTATCTAAGAATGAGCCACATCATCTGTTCTGATAACGAGCAGATTCGGTTTTTAACTGAACCTGAAAAACTGCACAGATGAGTATTTGTTTGGGTGTGTTTGATCCAATTCATAGCTGATTTGACAAGAGAACAACTCTTCTGCGACAGCAAACGTTTACAGATGTCCAGAAGAAAAACTGCAGCTTGTTTTTCTTTACATCACAACTTCAGTTGTGCTAGTTTTCCAAAAATAAGAACTAATCTGTTAAGTTTGTGTCAGCTGTGATATACTGCTGCTGGAAGTTAAGATTATTTCAATATTATTCAAAGTAATCAATACCTACTAGGTAAAATAACTTAAAATTACTGTGTGAATAAACACACTGCAGAAGCTAATCAAAAACCAAGTCACCTTGTCAAAACCCTTATCCTCCAGTCTTTTGCCAAGGACTTCTCCGATGCCTGCCAGAGCCATCACTGGCTTCTCTCCCATGGGCTCGGCCACAAAGTCTTTATGTTTTTGGGATGTCGATGACATGGTCTCTTTGGAGTCTGTCAAATAATAGCAGGTGCTAAACTGTAATATAAACAGATTTGACAAGTGAAAACAATACTTACCTAATTTCGTGAAAAGAAAGAATATTTCGTAAAATTGCAAATCTAATTTTACTTATTTATATTTTTATCAGTAACTGATAGACGGCACAGAAACTTCTTTAGACAGTAGTTGCACATGATATGGTTTAGTGTTTGGCTACTCATGTCAACTCTAGTTATGAACCAAGCCTACATTGCGAACATATCAACAAGTGCCGTATCTTTCTCTACAGCAATGACCTATTTTATGGAGCTCTGAGTGCTAATGATAATATATTTAACATCTGGGATTACCAACTGATCTTCATTACCGAGTAGCATCTAGTCAGACTCATCAAACAACTACACCCGTGAAATATTTCGGCTGATGGCTTAACGTAAGTGCAGTACAAGCAGAGTTGAATTGCGCGCGCAACACATTTCAATGCTAAGCGTTTTAGCACACCGAGCTAAAGTTCACTAGCTCCAGTTTATAATACTGCCTATTTTCCTACATATCCGCAGCTTCTTGGTGGGAGATATGTCTTTCTTAAAACCAGGGCTTGCTCCTAAAATAATCACAGACTATCAAGTTAATGCTGTAAAGCTAGAAATCAGGGGCTCATATTTTAGGCGCCTACAAATTAGCCTTACTTGAGCTAATGAAGCTTTAACGCTACTAATCTAATTTTTATTTTTCCTATGAAGCTCATTTACAAATAACCTCTTCCTTTGGGGCACGGTTGCGTTTATCACAACAAAAACCCACAGCTGCGTATCAACTTACCCGTTAGTGTCCCGTCCAAGCTTGATATTAACGTAGTTAGCTGAAAAGCTACGTGCTTTCGATTTCTGTATAAGCACCGGCGACCACAATGCAATGCGCAGGCTCTCTGCGGCTTCACGTCAAAAACCGCGTGACGTCACACGTCATTTCCCCCTGATTTTGATCTCGCAGGATAAACAGACAAACCTCTAGGGCATAACCAACTTTTAATGAGGTATTTCGATAATCACGTTTATCTTAAATTATAATAAGCACGTCTTCATTTTTGCCTGTCACACGTTGCTGACGTGGCAGACACTTTGTAATAAACAAGCAAAGAAAACAGTGTATATTGCTTTCAGTGTGCATTTTTATTAGCTAGGGAGTAACAGTATACACAGACTGATGCACCGTCCTTAGGATTGGCTTTCATGTCGTGGTTGTGCGCATTAATCATCTTCTAAGTCAGTTTCTGACACCAACATGGCATTTGCATCAGTCTTTGGATTGAGGAGGCGAAAGCTTAAGTGGGTTTATAACTGCAACTTTCACAGTAGCTCGGGGTGTGCGGCTTCTTTTATTCAGCTGACAAAATGCTGGAAGCCAGGCTGCAGGTCAGCCCGGTGCCATCTGGCTCCACATTGAGCTTCTTTACAACTCCGTCTTCCACCAACATAGAATATCTGAAACAACATGAAATACACACTCCAATCTACTTTAGTTAAGACAAACAAAACAAATAACAGTTATGTGGTGTGCAGTTTGTCTTTAATCAGTATGGACAGAGCTAAGATTGAAAAATCAGTAGAAACTTCACAAACACTGCAGTTATCTGAAACATTTGCACAATGAATCAATTGCAGTGGTAGAGGTGCAAAAGCAGGTAATGTGCAAAAGGCAGTATGTAAAAGCATTCATTTCCACTCACTCGCTGCTCCACTCTTAAGTGAGCAGTAAAGTGATTCTGGACAGCTATAAAGTCAAAATACTGTGCCATCATAAGTGTATTGTTGTGTAGTGACAGTGTTAGCACACAGAACTGCACAGAAAGTACTTATTATGTTCAAGGCAGGAATGATTGTGGGAACAATTGTGGGGCTATAGTGCATAAACTTTCTTACTGTGCAAACTTGTTATTAATAAAATTCAGGCATTTAAGACAAACAAAAAAGGTTACCTCTTGGATCGCTTATTCCCAAGTACCTGCACGATTTGATCAATGTCAAGTAACAGGTCAACTGCCTAAGGTAAAGAAAGATGAATTAATAGTTAGTCACTAAAGCTTCAAGTAGAGCTGGAATATAAAGCAGATATTGGTTTTTACCTTTGTGAATGCTCCAGTGGGATCAGCCAGCATCCGCACCTGCAGAGGAAAAGTGGCCATAAGCTCAGCATTACTGCATCCTTAAAGTTCATTTTGGCCATTTCCCAGTTCTTTGTCCAAGACTAACATGTCACAGAGCTCTCTAATTGTTCAGAAAAGCCATCTAAATGCAGGTTGTTCAGTTGTACTCTACCTTTCCATCAGCTCCATGCTCTTTTCCCCATGCAGCCATGACAAACGCATCGTTGACAGAGATACATGCTATTTCCTGTATACCTTTATTCTTCAGTTCTGCAGCCTGCTCCACAAAACCTGGGAGGTGAGTCTGAAAACAAAAAAAAAAATAAATAAATAATTAATAAGGTCAGCTGATTATCAATGTGCACAGGCACTGTTAACAGCGTGGACTCACTTTGGAACAGCCAGGTGTAAATGCTCCAGGTACAGCGAAGAGGACTCCTTTCTTCCCCTTAAACAGTTGATCCATAGCCACCTTATTCCCTGGCTCCCCCTCCTGGACCTCCACTGCAGGAAGATGTTCACCCACCTGATGAGAGGTGAGATGACAATACAGAACAATGGTGACCTACATTTCACATTACTGAAGTGATTGATACTAATGTGCATGTCCCTGGAGGACATTGCATGCACCGCCATTTGTGTTACGTTTAGCTTGCACTTACACAGAAGTGCTGCAGGATGACACAGTGGAGGAAGAGGGGTTTTTCTCTACGCATGTACGTACGTACGAACGATAGATACAAAAACACACCCATCTAATATTCAGCTTCTTATTTTTTAATAAACAAGGCTTGTAGGATCTTGCACGACCACTGGGGGGCGACAAATCATACAATTAGAACCCATCTGTTCTCTGATTGGATTGTTAAATTTGTGATTGACATGACATTGACCAAATAGGTTCAAAATTCGTACTTGTAACTTGAGAGCAGAGTTTCACACGTATTTTTTGGCTAAGTACACAAACAAATCTTTTTTACGCACACACAAATCCTTGTTACACATACAAATCCTGATTTACACATACAAATCCGGATTTTCGAGTACAAAACTGATTTACAAGTACAAAATATTTATGACCACAATTTGAGCCCATAAAAAAGCCGTATCACCCATAACAAGAGACAATAATCTGAACTGCAATGCACTTGAGTAATGTTATCCTACAAAAGATGGGTTAAATAACCCAATGTTGCAACGATTTGCATGGCCGTGAAGTGAATTCAGAAAAGCTGCAAGTGACCCAAATACAACATATATACTTATACTTAGGTGCACATATACTGGCCGTGATTTTGGCTGTATTTAAAACAAACAAACAAACGAAAATAGCGGAATACTGCCTTGACGGGCCTTAAAAAGTACCATGAGTGTGCATCTATAAAATAAACAAGCCTAGTCGACTAAAGAGAAGGTGAGATTGATTTACACGCAAGCTACGCACAAAACGAGTTTAACAGGTGGGGGAGGAAGGTGCGGAGACAAGCACCGACAGGACGGCTGTTATTAACAACCGATAATTATGAAGACAACGCCTGTCACGGGGACGGAATTCACGGATAGTTAGCATCGTGAGCTACAAATAAACAACGTCACCGCTTTATTTAACAAGTTACAGTAAAACGCACTGACACAGTCGCATTTGGCTCGTGCATGTAGAGCATACCCGGCAGCGAAACGGCTCGCAAGCCTTACCTGAATCGGCATTTTGGATGTCGGAGTAATGTGCAGTAGTCTAGCGCGCTGGAGCACACGGGAACTTCTGAGTACAGCGGATGTCACGGGGAGCATTGTAGCTGTTTAGCAAGCTAGTTAGCAAGGTATTAGGAAAGCGGTTTGTGGGCTGGAGGGGTTTTATCATGCAGTGCGCGCTGCCTTAATTTCCGCTTGGGCACGCCCAAAGCTCACTTGTCACTCTTACCTCGGGTTCAGTTACCTACACTGCTGTCCCACATTAGGTCTGGCTGTAGGTACGTAGTTGCCAGATTTGGGCCCGCTAAGCCTTTATTTACTGCGCCATCTGCTAGCAAACCCACATGTCTACAGTTTGGGCTAGAGACTGAAAGTAGCCCGTGGAGCTATAGCAGTTCCGATAAAGAAAAATAACTTTGCAAAAAGCAAGGGAAGACTTCACCAAAGTCTGGAAAATGTTATATATGTGTGTTCTATAATTAAATATATCAATATTCATTAAAGGTGGGCAGATGGTCCACATATTGATTGTATCAATACCAGTGACGGTATGGGTATCGGATGGATGTTTTGTTTCTATCCTCCTAAATTCCCACTGAATTGTGTTAGTGATTTTTTGGAGGGGGTAAATGACAAAAATATACCTTATATGCTGGCTTTATGGGTTGAAAGTGTCAGCATTGGTATTGGCAATACTGGCCCTGCATTTACTTGGCATTGAGTCAGATTCCAAATTTGCAGTATCACACAGAGCGAATATTCATACTTTTATACTATTGGGCCTTTTTCACAGAAAAAACTGGGGGCCTCTGTTAAAATAAGTTTGATTTTAGTTACTAAATGCTGTAATACTGGGGAGAAATCTCTATTTGGGAATTACAGACAGAGTAGTGATGTTGAGAGGAGATCCAGGATTTCCACAACAACTTTTATATAGTGACTTTTATATTGTGAGTCAGCAGCATGTGTCCTGGGGCCAAATCTGGCCCTTTCCAAATTTTAATCTGGTCGCCAGCCTGTTCAGGTTCTTGGTAAATTTTTTGCTTTGTAGTAATTAAATGTAAAGGCACACCTACGCTGCAACTACAAGATTAGCTTACAATTTGCCAGTTAGGCTATATGATACATGTAAACAACATGATCAAAGGTAGTTGATCATATGATGACTGGCTATGGGAGACTTTTATAAAGATGTGCAGACAATATTAACAATTATTCTTTTACTTATTTTACATTTCTGTTTCATTATGCCCCATATTACCAGGAGCTGGTATATATTTTATAAAGGAAGGGGGCAAATATACGACTTGGAGGCCAAAAAAAAAATCTTCCAATCCAAGCCACTAGGTGGCGTTGGAGAATGGAAAAATTACAGAGGAGAGGGGCAAGAATTTTGCACTTCATATTACCATAAATACCATAAACCATTAAATATGT